GCTACTTATATACTTATAACATTCTTAAGTCTCGTCACCAGAAGCTCCTCCTCGACATACAAGGATAATCTCTCAAGTCCTACTTAGATGAGATGTCAGCGACACTGGATATTTTTCTTCAAGTCACACTTATTAAGAGATAGATAGATAAAGAATATGATAAAGATGAATAAAGAATAGAAAGAGAATAGACAATAAAGCTTACTATATGAAATAGATAAAGAATAAACAAGGGGAGGGGAGGGAGAGGGAAGAGAGGGGAGGGGAGGCATGGGAGGGGAGGAGGAGGTAAGGAGGAGATGAGAGAAAGGAGAAGGGAGGAGAGGGAAGGAAGAGGAAGGGAGGAACGAGAGGAAGGAGGAGGGAGGAGGGGGAGGGGAGAGGGAAAGGGAAGGGAAGGAGGAAGGAGGAGGGGAAGAGAAGTGGAAGTGGTAAGGGTAGGGGAGGAAGAAAGAAGAAGAATGGAAGAAAAATAGGAAAGAAAGAAAGAAAAAAAATAAGAAAGGAAGAAGGAAAGAAAGAAAATAAAGAAAAGAAGAAAGAAAGAAAATATGGCAAAAAAAAGAAGAAGAAAGAAAGGGGAGGGAATGAGGAGGAGGGACAGGTAAGGAAAGATGTGAGGGGAAAAGGGAAGGAAAGGAGACGATGAGAGGAAAGGGAGAAAGAGGAGGTGGGAAGGAGAGAGAGGGACGGTTGGGGAGGGAATAAGACAGAAAGTAAGGGAGGGAAGGAGAAGAAAGAGGGGAGGGAAAGGAAGAGGAAGATTAGAGGAGGCGGGGAAGGGGAGGTGGGGAGGTAAGGGAAGGAGGGGTAGGGGAGTAGCAGAAGGAAGTGAGGAGGAGGAGAGGAGGAGGGAGGAGGAGGAGGAGGAGGAGGAGGAGGAGGAGGAGGAGGAGGAGGAGGAGGAGGAGGAGGAGGGGCAGGAGAAGGAATATGATATACTAGAGAAGAGGAGGGGTAAGGGAGGGAAGGAAGTGGAGAAGAAGGGGGTAAGAGTGGGAAAGGAGGAGGGAGGTGGAGGGGAGGAAGAGAGAGAGAGAGAGAGAGAGAGAGAGAGAGAGAGAGAGAGAGAGAGAGAGAGAGAGAGAGAGAGAGAGAGAGAGAGAGAGAGAGAGAGAGAGAGAGAGAAAGAGAAAGAGAAGAGAGAAAGACAGAAAGTTAAACAGACAGAGACAGAGAGAGAAACAAGAGAAAAAAAAAGAAAAAGAAAAAAAAGAGAGATATGCATACAAAACGAACAACAACAACAGCAACAACAACAAAAAACATCACCCCAAAACAAACAAACAAACAAATAAAGCCTCCCACTCACCCTTCGCCCTCTAGACATCTCCTCCTCGACGTCGAAGGCTGCCCGACCCGGCCTCGGTCTGATATGAAGCGACTGAGTGGAGATTAATTCCCATAAATGACTCTCGAAATGAGGATTAATTAACTTGACTCGCAATTAACGAAGCGACTCGACGTCTGGACTCCCCCCCCTCCCTTCCCCCCCTCTCTCCCTCTCCGGTGTAGGCCTGGTTGATGGAGGCTTCGACCCTCGCGGCACGTCGATCGCTGTGTATACATCTGTCTATTTGTCTATCTATCTGTCTAATCTATCTGTCTATCTATCTATCTATCTGTGTGTCTGTCTATCTATCTGTCTATCTATCTATCTATCTATCTATCTGTGAGTCTGTCTATCTATCTATCTGTCTATCTATCTATCTATCTGTCTATCTATTTGTGTGTCTGTCTATCTATCTATCTGTCTATCCTTCTATCTATCTATATCTGTCTATCTATCTGTCTATATATATTTATTTACGAGAGAGAGAGAGAGAGAGAGAGAGAGAGAGAGAGAGAGAGAGAGAGAGGAGAGGAGAGAGAGAGAGAGAGTGAGAAGAGAGAGAGAAGAGAGAGAGAGAGAGAGAGAGAGAGATAAAGAGAGAGAGAGAGTGAGAGAGAGAGAGAGAGAGGAGAGAGAGAGAGAGAGAGAGAGAGAGAGAGAGAGAGAGAGAGAGAGAGAGGAGAGAGAGAGAGAGAGAGAGAGAGAGAGAGAGAGAGGGAGAGAGGGAGAGAGAGAGAGAGGAGAGAGAGAGAGAGAGAGAGAGAGAGAGAGAGAGAGAGAGAGAGAGAGAGAGAAGAGAGAGAGAGAGAGAGAGAGAGAGAGAGAGAGAGAAGAGAGAGAGGAAGAGATGGAGCGAATCTGTAGGTATCTACAAAAAAAAAATTTTGAATCGAATAAAGAAAAAAAAAAAAATAAACAAAGAGGTATCAGTAGAACAATTTGGTTTCTTGAAGGGAAAAGGTACAAGTAATGCAATTTTTGCTCTTAGGGAATTAGCAGAAAGAATGGTAGAAAAACAAAAAAAAATTCTTTATGTGTTTTGTAGCCTACGAGAAGCCAACTGACAAGGGGAAACACGAAGAGTTAATAGTAATGCTAAATAGTAATAAAATTAGAGGGAAAGATTCAAGATTAATAGAGAGATTATATTGGAAGCAGAGGGCCACT